TTCTGAGGATACATTCATTTACAATTTTTAAAAGATTAGCACGTACTTCACCTGACCAAAAGTTTAACGTTATTAAGCATTAAGTGGTTGCTAAGCCAGATGATAAAACCCCAGAAAAAACAATCTGCAATGTTATAGAGGGATAGAAAGCATTCGCTAAAAAGACCTGAAAATTAACAACAACAAAAAAAGGAGCATGACACCTGGTAGGATTAAACAAGAAAATCAACAAGTTCAAAATGAGGTACAAATTTTGTTGCAGCAGCAATTTATGTACTATTTTCATACAGTGCTCATCATTTATTTCATTAGAGTCAAATTCATCAGGGTCTTTAAAAAAACCATCATCCTGTCACAATTTGCAGAACTCACAGCTGTCCTCCAAACTTGTATTTAGTACGTGGAATAACTATATACTGCACATATAAGTGTAGTGATAAGGATATATAACAACAGTTTCCTCTCTGTATAAGTTCTCTAAAAAGTAACAAATCCTTATTGTGTCACAGCTAGTGTTTTCTCTATGTCAGCCAAATTTTAAATGTCATATATAATGGTATTTAGAAAAACAAGAATAATTGTTTTCAAATAAATATATGTATTAAAACTATGTTACTATTCTATCATTAACTATTAATAGATGCCAGCATAGAATATGCATCACTTTGTCCCAATAGTTTTATATAGTGTTGTTTTGTTTTGTTTTTTTGAGATAGGGTCTCTCTAGGTAGCCCAAGTTGTCCTTGAACTTGTGATCCTCCTGCCTCAGGCTCCCAAGTGTATGGATTTACAGGTATGTGCTATTACACACCAGGCTGTATACAGCACTTAAAATCTGGCTAAAATACAGGAAACACCAGCTGTGCTACAAAAGAAGAATATGTAGCTTTATGGAGACTATATACAGAAAAGAAACATCATTATCATGAGTCTATAACCATTCGCATTTTCTTCTGTCAATTCCCAGCCTCCTCAACTCAAATAATTTCAGCACTGTGGACTCTAAAACTGATCTTCACATCTAGATTGCTGATCGTTTTAAAAGTATCTTTCCTAGGTGTTTACCATAATGTTATATGGAGAAAAGATACTTTCTTCACTTCTAAGACTATTGTAGTACATGGTCTTTAAGGACTCTGAGTTCTTGAATTCCATGCTTTTAAAGTTTCCTTAAGAAAAATTATTTTAGATATGTTGTAGTCATTTGTTTATTCATTTGAGATATGTATTAATACCTACTGGTTCAAGATTCCACTCTGACAAAAAGTGAATTGCAGATAGAGGATTAAATATAGTCAAAGGCTCTGAGGTTAAAAACAAAACAAAACAAAAATGATGGGCCAGGCTTTGGTAGGCACACCTGCAATCCTAGCACTCAAGAGACTGAAGCAGGAGGGTCGTGAGTTCAAATGCATTGCTATGGCCAAACATCCCAAAGGTTATGAAGTGTGTAGATCCAGTACATTGTTACAAATAAAATACAAATAAAATAAGTTCTAGTGGGCTGAGGGGACTGGGACTCTTGAGAAGGTACTAGGGTAAGGGATATATGGCACATATGAAGGGATGATTTAAAGAAAGCCCTGTCACTATTATAAATCAGAAAATAATCTCTCTGTATAGCCATCCTTACCTTAACCAGCAAAAACCCTCTGTCTCTCTTATTATTGCTTTTGTTTTCTCTCCAACAAAATTAGAGATAAGGGCAGAACAGATTCTACCTGGAAGCAAGGGGGGGTGGGGGGAGAGAGAGGGGGCAGGGGATGGAGGGGAGCAATGACCCAAACAATGTATGCACATGTGAATAAAAGAATATAAATTTTTTAAAAAGAAGTATGTTTTATATAAAGGGGAAAACGTGAAAATAAATTGCTTTGGTAGCTGAAAAATTAAAAAAAGAAAAGAAAAAATAGAATATGTGGGTATAGATGCAGATAGTTTTGGTAAACTAAGGGAATGCTCATTCTGTAGCATGTATTCCTCTCTGAAGTAGGAAGCAAGGAATTCTGCTAGGAGTGGTGGGGAAAGGGTTGAAGAAGTTTGAGAAATTTTGTAGAAGGCTGGTAGCACAGAAGTTCCCTGTGAGATGGCAGTCATATTTTAGTTGAACCCGTCTTCTCAACTGAACAACTTTCTTCCGACATGTTCACCATCCTATGTCCTAACCAGAAAAATGGGTAATAGGGTTTCTCAGAGCAAGGGATTTAGGACAGGGAAGCCAGGAGGGGGCAGAGAAGAAAGGGTGCTGAACATACAATCAAGAAAGAGTAAATGAAATAATGTACTCTGGAGTCTGAACTAGGAAACTAGGAGAAAAGAGAGAAAATGGAAGAGTCTATGGGTCTAGTGTTCACAATGAGATTAAAGATGGTCATAGTGGTTGTGGTTGTAGATGGGTGTTTGAATTTGGAAGAGAAGCAGATCTAGGTGACTTCGGGAGTGGATGATCAGAGTAAGTATATTACTAAAAAGATATTGGAAATGCTGAGTGTGATGGTACATGACTGTAATCCCAGCACTCAGGAACATTGAGAGTTCAAACCAGCCTGGTCTACATAGCAAGACTGTCTGAGAAAACAAGCAAACAACAACAAAACCAACAACAAGGAGGGCCACTGATAAAGAATTTTTGTAAATGTACTAAATATACCAAGTTTCAGGAATATCCTAAATTTTAAAAATTTCCAGGCCTTGAATTCCTCATAAACGGATGGATTCTCAGTTGATCATACTCATAGGAAGTAACAATGACTTTAGAAAATATATTTAATACATACTTGAAAGTGGAAACTGATAACATGTAATTGTAGACTCAGAGTAAGAATAGTTGAAGTGCAAAGGAATTTAGAGATTGTTCAATCTAGCAGTTCTCACAGTATGGCCCAGGAATCAGAGCATGGGCACTACTTGCAAACTAGTTAGATACACAGTGTCTCTGGTGTCACTGAATCAGAAACACTGGGGGTGTGGTAAAGTTGTTTGCTTTAATAAGCCCTCCAGGTGTTTGGTTTAATTCATACAACTGCTTTAAAATTGGAAATAGGGAGCTCCATAGTAACACTTACAAATAAAACAGTGGGCTTTGTCTGAAAGAGCTTACATTTGCTGAAAGATACACTTGCTCACAGGACATGCTTGTTTCCTATTCCATGTTTTCTATGGCTGCTATAAGAAGTTACTGTACCATTAAGTTGGCAGTTCACCACAAAGGTATCAGCTTACAGTTTTGTAAGGTCAGAAGTCCAACCAACATCTGTGTCACTGGTCTAAAATCAAGGTATTAAGTTTTTCTTTCTCTACTCTAGGGAAAAGAGTCCCTTTCCTTGTCTTTGCCATGTTCCAGAGACCACCCACTTTGCTTGGCTTCTGGCACTTTCCTCCATTTTCAAGCCAGTAGGTGTGTATTTTTAAATAAGGGACTGGCCTTCTCTACATTTTGGAGTCTGTACATAGGACCAGTCACCTCACATCTACCTGCTATATACACGCCTCAGTATTATCCTGTCATTGGCCCAGACTATGTCATAGAGCACAACAGGATCATGAAATTTCCTCAGGCAACAAAAATAATCAATTATGCTCATTACACTACTCTTACTAAATCACGAAAGACTACTGGTTCATGAAGGAAAAAGATATTAAACGATGTTTTAAACAAAAAGGTTTCCTATGTAAGTCTCGGTTAACAGGACAATTGAATTCGAACAGCTTTTAGTGTACTTAACCAGTGTGTTTAAATAATTTTAATTGTTGTTGACTTTTTGTTGATATATAGCATAGATTTTTGTTGTTTTCTTAAAGCTGGCTATTGAAAAGTTTAAGAAAAATGCTGATTACAGGACTACACTAAAGGGACCAGGTTTTGGTGGTAAGACTATGAAGTAGCTTTAAAATTTCTATTTTCCATATTTTCATTAATGAAACCGTATTACTTTTGAAACATTAAAAAAAAAAAAGTTAAAGAACCACTAACACGCTACAGTTGCCTGCCTTCTAAGTGTGGGGTATGGTGTTTGAAGTCCCGGCCGCACAAAATGACAAAGGTCCCGTTTCCAACACTGTCCTCCCAAACGGACTGGTGGACCCTTCTCCGATACATCATTTTGCAAACGTGCTCGACACGAATGCGGGCCCCTGGCACTTTCTACACCTGCGACTGCGCTGCCTGCCGCCCTTTCCTCAGGGTGGCTCTGCCTGAGGCCCTCGGCCTCCTCCGGGACGCACCTGGACGGTGGATCCTCGATGCCGGGGCAGATGCGACCCGCTCAGGCGCAGCGGCGCGCAGGCCGGGGCCGGGGCCGGGGCCGGGGCGTCGGGACCCGCGCGGCGCGCAACCCGCTCTGCCGCGAGCCGGGCCCAGGCCCGGAGGGGGAGCGGCGCTGGGGGCGGCGGGGGCGGGCGGGAGGCCGTGGGGGAGGAGCGGCAGCGGCAGAGCGGCGGTGGCGACCGACGCGCGGCGGCGGCGGCGGCGGCGGCGGCGGCAGGAGACCCACCCCTGTCCACATGGACAGTCGCAGAGGCCGGCGCTGATGCGTTCACGCCTGGGCGGGGTGGGCGTACGGCCGTAGCGGCGACGACTGCAGCAGCTTCGACTCAGGGGTCTGCGGACGCCTGACGGTCGCGGAGACCTCGCTGCCTTGGCGCGGCGGGTGCGGCCATTTTACGGCCTGGGACGGAGGGAGGCGTGTGTGAGCGCGCTCGCCCGCATCGCTCCTTCCTGCGGCCCGCGCGCGGCCAGAGGAAGCTTCTCCGGCGGCCCGGGAGGGGGGGCGGTGGATGGGGAGTCGTGGGCCGAGAGGAGCCGGGCCCGGGAAGCGCCGTCGCCGTCGCCGCCGCCCGCGCTCCGCCGAGGGAGCCTGAGGAGCAGCCCGGGCCACGGGCCTCGTCGCCGACTGCGGACAGGCCGGGGCGCGCCTGGCCTGCTTTTGTGAAGGGCCGTGCGGACGTCGGAGCGCCGCCTGCCTGACGCCGAGCCGCAGGCCGCAACCCTGCGGCGGCTACCGGCACCCGGCGCGGCCCCGCATCCCGGCGAGCACGGCGGCGGTGTGGGCCATGGAATAAGGAGGAGGCGGCGGCGTGGGAGGAGGAAGATGGCGGCCGGCAAGAGCGGCGGCAGCGCGGGGGAGATTACATTTCTGGAGGGTACGTGGATGTCGGCCGCGGCCGGCAGGGTGATGAAAGAGAGGGGAAGGCGGCTCCCCGGAACTTGGCGCCCCGCGCCGGGCGAGTGTGGGGCGACGGAGGCACAGCGGGGAGCGATGGCGGGGAGGGCGGGACGCGCGGCGCGGCGCCGCGAAGCGAGCGGGCGGGCGGGCGAGCGCGCCGCGTTCGAGCCGAGTCCGCCCGGGCGGCGAGGGGGCCGCGCAGGCCGCGCTCAGGGAGGGCGGAGAGGAGCGCGCGCCCGGCTCTGACATCTTTCCATTTTCCTGCTGACAGCAGGCTGAGTACAGGTCTTGCTCGGCCATCTGCGAAAGTTTCCAGCGGCCGCGGTCGGGGGTTGGGAGTTGTCCCCGTTCGCGTCCGCACACGGCCCCGGCGCTGCTCTTGCGGCCGGCGTTCCCGCTAGGCCTGGCCGGCTCGGAGGAAGTGCGCCTCGGTGAAGATATTTTTGTACAAAAATGTATCCAGCGTCAGTGTGGGGACAGTCGCCAAAGCTAATAGATCAACTTTGAGTGTTTCCGTGCTCACTTGCAGGGGGTACAGTTGGGGGCCAAGCCGGCCTTGAAAGTGTGCTTTAGTCGGGGTCGTGGTTACAATACTGGCTTTATACGTAGATCGATCTATCTATATATATAATCTCCACCCCCCCCCAAAGCAGCTGGAGTTCATTGTGGTTGTGGACCAAGAACTTGAATGCTCACATTACTAAATTTGACGACCGGCTCTGTGTCCTACATCGGTTATTGAGAAAGCCTTGGCTGTTCAGTGTTTGTTTAAAAAAAAAACGGTAATTTTGCAAAGATTTCTTTTCAGCTACAGTATATTTGAGTGATACTTTACAAATGACTGGAAACATTACTGATGTAAGAAAGTATAATTTAGTGTAAAATTTAAAAACAACCTTACTGGTAACAGGTTCTATAGGAGGCTGTTGAGGGGTGGCATGCCCCATTTATTGCCTTATAAGCAGCATCTCAGTTACGGCAACACAGTAGGTACTTACTCAGTGATAGTCTAATGACTGGAGACTAATAAAGGTGGGAAAAGTAATTTTCTGAATCTTTCATACTTGACGTGAGAAAAATCATACCTTGCCGGGCAAACCAAACTGTAAAACTGATGAGATTTCTACGTAGGGTTTCTGTCCAGTAAGAAGATAAGGAAAGTTTGTGAGTTACTATCTTCTTACTAATTTGGGGCGGAGTAGGTAACCTGTCTAGAGGTTGAGACACATGCAGTTCTGTTACAGGTAACAGAAGTTGTTTTGAAGTTCGAAAGTCAAAAGATATTTTCATCTGTTTATTATGTTCAGTATACTGATGATTATACTTTTGTGCTATGGGAGATTTTGGGCTTCTGTAGTCTTCTGATTCAGTTTATAAATTCTGATTGGATGAAAATAGGATCAAAAGAGCACAAAGCCAATCAGTGGATTACAATTAGTACTACTTCTAAATTCTAATGCTAATTTCCAGGATTCTTTTGGTTCCCATCACTTTTAATAATAAAATGTTCCATTATAATTTGTCATACATTTGTCATACTGTCTTTACATTTTCAAAATGTTTTCCTGTTGGTTTGGGAGATTTAACATTTATTTTTATTTATTTGGTGGTACTGGAGTTTGAACTCAGGACCTCATGCTTGCTAGGTGGGCCCTCTACCACTTGAGTCACTCCACCATCCCTCTTTTGTGTTGGGTATTTTTTTGAAATAGGGTCTTGCTTTTGTTCCCTGGACTGGCCTCAAATCATGATCCTCCTGATCTCTGCTTCCATGAGCCACAGGTGCCCAATGGGATTTAATATTAAAACAGCTGCATATTATATGTTTCATTCTCTATAACAGAGTTCTTGAAAATCTGAAGTAGGTTTTCATTTAGTCATGAAACATTTATAGCAGCCTATTCTGCTAGGCCCTGTACCAAAGTGAATAAAACAGTGCAAAAATATTCAAAGTACCTACTTTGATGGAATTTACATTTTCATGTGAAAGACTGTCAGTAAAACATAAAAAATAATACTAGAGCATTCTTACCTCAGATTTCATATAGTTCCTTCAGGTCTGCTCAGACTTGACAAACTACCCTAAAATGTCATGATGCCACATGTGCTCCCACATGCAAACATGTGACATTACTTTTGCTGTTTTATTTTTTGTATCAGTATGTACTGATAATGATTAATTATTAAATAATCAAATAAATTAAATGATTAATTTATTTCTTCCTGCTTCTCAGCCCTACTGAAATGTAAGCTCTGTGAAAACAATGAGTTTGCTTCTTCACTATCCTACCTGCACCTGGAAACTATTTGTTGGTTAAATAAACTAGATCATAACAGTGTGATAAAGGCTGTAGAGGAAGTATGCCATGCACAATGGAGAAGCTGTTTATAGTATTCAGGTCAGAGAGGCATCTTTGAGATGACACTGAGTTAACACCTCATTGCAAGACTCTTCAGAGGGGATGCATGGTTCTGTTTTTTAAACAAATCATAATGGCTGAAAAAATTTTCTGCTTTCCAATCTTATTTCTTTCATATCTGTTCATTTACTGTTCTCTTACACCTCTTTTCCATGGTTTTGGCAGGTTTCTTTGTTAATTCATCCAACCATTATTTATTAAGTACCTGCTATGTTGTTACTACACAGAGAAGCACAGTGGCAAGGGGGGAAGAAAAACAAAACTAGTTTCTCCAGAGTACAGTACAGTGAGGAGAATCGATAATCAAATAATCACACTTTTAAAAGTACAACTGTAATGCACTGCCAAGGAGAGTTATTTAGAATAATGAGTATTTGATATAGTCAAGGTAATTTGAAGGATGAATAGGGAAGGGGAAGATGGGAGTTAGCTTTTCAGACAGATAGAATAAAAGAAAGAAGCATGGTGTGTATGGGGAACAAAAATGGGATGGGGTGGTGCCAGCAAGGAGAGTGGTACAAAATGAGGCTGAAGGTGACATCATCAAATTTGTTTCAGAAACGGTCATTGCTGCCACATTATCAGGGAAACCAGTTAGAAAATGATCACAATATAGGGCAAAGATTGTGGTAGCCAGCTTTGTCTCTTAACCTTCTCCCTCTCTTTCTGTGAGTGCTAACAAGTCTGCTTATTCTCATCTTTTTTTAAATTGTTGTGCTGGGTGTAGGTACCTTGTGGTACTTACAAAAGTTCTTATTACAATGTATTAAATATATCATACTTGGATTCACCGCCTCCCCCACTCTGACCTATCCCACCTCCCCCCCATTCCTGGAACAGTTTCAACAGGTATCATTTCTGCATTTACATACATGTGTATACAGTATTTGCACCATATTCACCCTTCTACCCACTTTCTCTCCCCACCCCGCGCACTAGTTTATAGCTACCTTTCTTTTGTCTTTTTTTCTTCCATTGGAATTGCTTTACCTATATTTTCTGCCATTTATTTCTTGAAATAATTTCTTCTTATCTTCCGTTTCTAAGGTGCATATGTTATTAGTTGTTTTCATTTCAGATCTAGTTCTCCTTAGGTCCTTGTCCACTGGGTTGAAAAACTGATGCTGAGCTACTACTCTGTTGTCCTCTAAGCTAACAAAAAAGCGTCTGTGTCCAAATGAAAAGAGTTTCCCATTACCCCCAGCCAAACTTTCACATGTAAATTTAGTTCAGAGCACAATCACTTTGTCAGTTTTACTGGGGACAGTAAATACTTCACTTGGGGTAGTGGGATTGAACCGAGTGCCTTACACTTGCTAGGGAAGTACTCAACATTTGAAGTAGGCCCCCCTCATTTTGTTTTTGAGATGGAGTCTCACTAACTTCTCAGCTGGCCTGGCACTTGGAATCCCTCCTGCCTGTGCCTCCTGAATATCTGGGATTACAGGTGTGTGCCACCATACCCAACTATTTCACACTATCTCTTGAACTAAAGCTCACATTCTAAATGATTGGCATCTCATGAAGTGTGAGCAAGGTCTTTAATTTTGGCCTACTCAGAGGAGTATACCTCAAAAGTTCTCCATTTAGCCTTGCTCTTTTTTTTCTCTGATTGCCCTACTTTGGGAACTTTTCATCCTAGTTTCATTTGATATTTACTCCTTTTAAGTATGTTTATTTCCTATTTTCATCCTAGTTGAAGTGATACATTTTATCACTTGATTTCAAATACATGAAACAGAAGCATAGAACCTCACTTGAGTATGAAAGTGGTTTTTACTAGAAATGTCATTGAGAGCATGAATTCACAAGCTGGAATGCTGAGATTCAACATGTATTAATAACTGTGTGCTTTGGACAAATTACTTATCCTGTCTGGTTTTCTGATCTGTAAAACAAAGATATAATAATTGTGTTATCTAGCTATCTATCACCGTGACAAAATACCTGAGAAAATAGCCTTAAAAAAAGGAAAGGTTGCTGGCAGCTCATGGCTCACGCCTGTAATCCTAGCTACTCAGAAGGCAGAGCTCAGGAGGATCATGGTTCAAAGCCAGCCTGGGCATATAGTTCACAAGACCCTATCTCAAAAAACTCATTAGAAGAAAGAGCGGGTGGAGTGGCTCAAGGTGTAGGCCTGAGTTCAAACCCCAGTACCACAAACAAACAAAAAAAAAAGAGGAAAGGTTTATTTTGGTTCACGCCTTCAGGGCATGCCCCCAGTGACTTAAATTCCTTCCTTCAGGTTTTTCCACCTCCCGGTAGGGCCATAGGTTAGCAATCAGACTTTTAGCATGAACCATGGGGGGATGCCTATCCATACTATAGCACTTACCTCATGAGATTGCCACGAGAATTAACTAAGTTGATGTATCTTAAATATGTACCAGGCTTAAAATAAGCACTTTGTAGGTTGGTATTATTATTTATTTTTTACTAGGTAGAGAAAAGAAAAAGAGTTTGCTTTCCTTCTTCCACCATGCCTTCTCATTTACTTGAATTTTAGTTTTCTTTTTTTTAAACTTAGCACTTTGTCTTCTAGAAAGATGGCCAGCTT